GGTTTCAGAGAGTTACAAGGGTCTTTAAATGGAATGAAAACAATTGGATACAGCAATTTATTAATATTAGAAAATGTCATTTTTACTTTTGAATATTTCAGTACAAAGGATGTATTGAATAATTTAAGTGATATATGTGTACACATACAGGCCATAAGTCAAAACAGCGCTAAATTTGGCAGAATTATAAAAGGTAAAAGTGGTAAAATAAAGAGCTGTTTGGGACCCGAAAGAGCCAGCTCTTCTTGGTGAGCTTAGCCAAATGATCTGGCTCACTAAAAAGAACCGGAATTCCCATCACTACCTGACTGTCGGACATCCCAAGCTTTTATAGTTTCAGTTCCCTGAGTTGCATTCTCTGGATTGGAGGGCTGGACTGGGTTCCGCTCCAATCAGGATCTTCATCTCATCAGGCAGGAAGTAGGAAAGGTGAAAATGGCCCATGCCTCACCAACTGGAGCCAATTGTGCACAGGCGACCACACGTCCTACTTAGCATACACAAAACTCTACAAGAGGGGTGAACACAACAGCTGAGTAATGACTTGTCCTGGAAAAAACTCTTTTTTTTTTTAGCAATTATTCAACACCATAACTCGAGACAGAAAGAGATTGTGACCATATTTCACAGTTGGTCGGACGCTGAATTAGTGAAACTTTTGACTTAAAGGTCACACTGCTAAATTGCACATTCCCTGAACAATATATTGCACGTTCCTGCAAACTGTACAGCTCTTCGTTTATTTAAACAGTAGTTATATTTGTATATATTGTCTGTTTATTTATATTTGTATATATTCTCTTTTTATTTATTACTGTTTCTATTCTTTATTTCTATTCTCAATGTTTACTGTAATACACCAATTTACCAAGGCATATTCCTTGTATGTAAAATCCTACTTGGCTATAAACCTTATTCTGATTCTGAGTTCAAAAGTTATTGTGACCTGAAAAATAGGCTTTTAGCAATAATTTTAAATTTTATTTGGGAATTTGGCGATTCCAGATGTCACACACGTTGACTAAAATGACACAATGAGTAAACAATAACTAGTAATGTACATAAAAATACCTGCATGTAAAATATTTATTTTAGCATTTTAGCTTTGCATCCTCTGCACCATTGCATTGTCTACTGTCTACAAATGTTTGTTTATGTATAACTGCACATATAATGTCTTTTTTGTTAAACTTCTGTTTATTTATGCTGTAAGTCTGTGTTTGTTCATTGAGAGCAACATAAAAAAGGATTTAAATACCTTGTATGTGCACACATACCTGGCCATTAAAAGTGATTCTGATTCCTGTCCTGTTTGATGGCCAATCCAAACCAGACAATGATTTTTTTATATAAGAATCCTTAATTTTTTAGTTTAGAATATAGAAAGTACTGTCCCAGTTCTTCTCCGCAATAAAACACCAATGCCTACCACCTTTTCTCTCCTGTTTTTCTGTCAAATCCTCCCCACCTTCACCTCATCGTGTCTATCTTCTCTTTCATCCTATGTCTGTCCCTGTTTCTTACCCTTCCAACCAGAGAACTGAGTATGACCTCTAAAGGCTTTGTATGTGTAATGAAAACATCACAGATCTCTCTGTCTTTCTTCCTTTCTTTTTAGGCTAACCTGGCAGTGCAGCAGAATCGTCTGGCAATAGCTAATGTGGACCTTCAGAAGGCGCAGGCTGAGCTGGATGCCAAGCAGGCAGAGCTGGATGTGGTACAGGCGGAGTATGAGAAGGCCATGATGGAGAAACAGGTCAATAGCTTTACTTTACTTTACTTGTGTTACCTCGAAACACAAGTATAAATCAGTTTACAACACAAAAAGAGAGCACTGTGTGCTGAAAAAACATCTGAAACAACAACTGGATCATGTGATATAAAGCAGATGTTTAAGGCTTAAGGCTAATTAATGAACATAGATAACATTATACAATCAGACATCTGGTGTTACTGGTGTCTGTTCTACTGAAACCTGTTATATAATGGGGAATTACAATATCACTTCTACTTAGGTGAGTTTTAATAGCACATGCTATTGCACTGCTAAGTCTGGATCCAAACTGGTGATCCCATTTTTTTCATAATTAAAAGTGAAATATGGTGGAAAATGAAATATAAAATGAGATTGAGAAATAATGTGGTGGCCTTATTTCAGCTAAACCAAATCTATAATTAGTATCTTTTTCTAAATGTATGTTGGAAGAAAGGTTTCACGAGGCTTAAACTTTCTATTGATATTTTAACATCAATATTATGATATTACAGTGTTTTCTAGTCTTTTATCGAATAAGGTACCCTTTCGTTAAAATAAATAATGAGCCTATAAACACACACAACAAAAATAGAAAATGACTCAACCCGAGTTACGCCATTTTTTAAATGAATGTAACTACACTGTTTGTGTGTGTGCAGTTTGTGTAACACTGTCTGCTGTGTGTGTGTGTGTGTGTGTGTTTTTCTTCATCAGTACTCTCTGTTCTGTGATAACAGCATGTAAATGGAACAGTATGTGCACCAACACTCTCTGATTAGGAAATCTGGACAGCCCAAGTTGACTCTTTTTATAATTTTGTGATTAAGATGCAGAGCTGTTTATCTCCAAGGGCTAAAAGTGAGATTAAAGGGCTTGCTGCAGAAGCGTTCAACACTGTTGACTTTGATATGCTTCTTAATTAAGAGAATGCCTATACCAGGCAGTCTTTATCGATGAAACAGACATTATTACTGTTGGGCACACAACCTCATTATTGCCTGTGAGCAGCTGACAAAAGGATAAGTGTGACAAAAGGTGCTGTTGACCTCTTACTATATTTTTAAAAAGAAAAGCTCCTTTGGGCAGTCAAATAGGATAAACATGCTGAAATCCAAACACATCCATCCATCCATTGGTTGTCGTGGAGAAAACCAACACAGTGATAAAGAAAATGTGAAATAATATTTGTCAGTTTTATACCAGTGATCCTATGTTGAGTCCTATTGTACTGGGATTAGAAAGGATCTAAGGTCACAAAGGACTTCACTATTTCAGAACTATACTATATACTATTATATGAACAGTCTTTGTCCATATAAACAGATGTATACACTGTAAATACACACACAGAGAATATACAGAGAATAAATGGTCAAATAGGAGTTTGATGGATGGATTGATGAAGAGACAGCTGTAAGGACAGACTGGGAGGCCAAACAGACACATCAACCTACTGACCTGATTGTCTGTCCTTCCTTTCCATCAGACACTGCTGGAGGATGCTGAGCGCTGCAGACACAAGATGCAGACAGCGTCCAGTCTCATCAGCGGTCTGGCTGGGGAGAAGGAGAGATGGACAGAGCAAAGCAAAGAGTTTGCTGCCCAAACCAAACGCCTTGTCGGTGGGTTACAAAGCAGGCTTCAAGAAAGAAATGTCTCTGCAATTTAATAATAATAATGAATGCCCTCTCATGAATAACAGTGAGTTGTTTGTGTGATGTTGTGGAGCATTGTTTGAATCAATAAGGTATGAATTTATACCATTTTGGTTAGATGATTAAACAAATATCTCTTGAATTACTAGCCTACTGTAAATGCAGGATGCCATTAATGCATACTAATACTTCTAATTACCAACAATGTGGTCAAAATGTTACTATTTGACATGCCATTTAATTCCTAATGTACAGCTAACATAGTAATATTTCTCTACTACTTTTACTTTTTACTGCAACAAAACCTGCCACAGCATGGACCATTTTCTGGTTGTGCTGGCATTACTCTTCAAGACTTTTTTTTTGACATTTAATAACCGGTTTTTAAGTGTTGCATGCACTCCTAGCAACACCTTTGTAATCTTGTTCCAGGTGACATTCTTCTGGCCACAGCATTCCTCTCTTACTCCGGCCCCTTCAATCAGGAGTTTCGTAACCTTCTACTTAGTAACTGGCAGCGGGAGTTGAAGCAGCGTCGTATTCCATTTGGCAACAACCTCAATCTGACTGAGCTGCTCATTGATGCACCCACCGTTAGCGAGTGGAACCTACAGGTCAGTGATCTATTTTGGTAACTACTGCCAACGAAATCAGCTGTTTTAGTGCATACTGATGCAGTGTATACGGTATGTGATATTTGTATACTGTATATTGTTTATCTACTTTCTAGGTACTTTAGGTTTTGCAAGTTGTTTTTCATCAGCTTTTACCAGAAAAAAATGCTTTGAAAATGTCTGGGCTTAACGAAATGTGACCTTTTCTCTTCAAAACATAGTTTCTTTCTTCTATTTTCTATGAAGACTTTATATTGGAGTTGCCTGACTTTTTGTTAGATAGTTAATTATTAATAATAATAATAATTATTAATAATTATTAATAATTAACAATCATTCTTTGCAGGATGTATGTAGCTATATATTTTTTTTCTGCAATCAAATACTGAATAACAAAACAGAATTAGTTAAATGAAGCAGAATCCTACTAAAAACATAACTAATTAGCTGGCATCTGTTTGAATAAACATCATGACTGAACCGTAACCAGTGATTTGTCTTCCATCTTACAGGGGCTCCCTAATGATGACCTGTCTATTCAGAATGGCATCATTGTCACCAAAGCCGCCCGCTTCCCCCTCCTCGTTGACCCCCAGACGCAGGGAAAAATCTGGATTAAGAACAAAGAGGCTAGGAATGAGCTGCAGGTTTGGGATTTTTTTAAATATGTACATTTTTAAGGGACGAAGAGGGTGTACCATTTCCTAACATTACATAAGAGCAACAACATTCTGGTGGGTCAATCGGTTATCACATATGTATATCACAGTGAGTCAAGTTATTGATTTTCAGACTTTTCATTTTCAAAGTTCTGTCATTATCTTATTATCTAATAATTCAAATTAATTTTTTATACCTCTATTTCTAAGCACCATACCCATTGAACAATGCTTACTCCTGTGCCATTTTTTGTAGTGTGAGATTTAGAGCCTTTTAAAATCTTTTCATCATTTGAAAGAATAGTTCTAGATGCTCAGCTCTTGCACTGTACTATTTGCCCTAAACTCCTTTTCGTTGTCCAACATGCTTTTCCTTTTTTACAGCGCCTTGAAAAAGTACTGTAGAATTCAGCAGGCATAATAAGACCAGCCAAGGTCACTGGCCCTGTTAAGGGCAATCTCTGAGCTGAGTGAATGCATTCTGCAATCGTATTATGAGTGTCCTGAAGATGCATTTCCTGAAGCAGTGGTTTTAAACCCTTTCTACAAGTGACCTCATCAAACCAACTGTATTTATTTTATAAGGTTTTCTAAAAATGGCTCATCTTAAAAAGTGATGTGTTTTTAGTTTGACTAGTCACATTTCTCAGACAGAGCTTGGCCTTTGTAGCTTAGGAGGAATGAGGGAGAACTCAAATGTGTGTCTCCTTCATTTCTCACTGTCTGACTTATAAATTTGCTCATCAGTCTGTTGGAAACAATGTGATGGCTGCTGAGGTCAGTTAGTAGGTGATCACATAATAACACCAAAACATTTTGTTTCTGTGTTACAGAGAACTTTTAAGGTTTGCTCCCATTAAAATCTAACACTTCCAAACATGTCCAGCATGTATAGAAATTAATGCTTCCAGCTGTTAAATGCATTGCATTTTTATGTGATTCAATCATCATTTTTTATATCCATATATTAATAAAGTTTCTATATTCTGATCCCAGATAACCTCACTGAACCATAAATACTTCAAGAACCACCTGGAAGACAGTTTGTCTCTTGGACGCCCCCTTTTGATCGAAGATGTAGGGGAGGAGTTGGACCCTGCACTTGACAACATCCTCGAAAAAAACTTCATCAAAACCGGCTCCACTTACAAGGTAACATGGTAGAAAGAAACCTCATGAGACCCTCATGTCCCAGATTTTTTTTTCTTGGTTAGAAAGGTGTGAAATGGGCAGGTGTGTTTCGAGCACTGGTGGGAGGCATGATGGGACTTGGCCAGGTCCCACTTGCCATGCCAACTGTCACACATGTACTGCTACAGGTTGGTTAGCTCAGACAGGGGAAAACAAGCCCAGTCACTGGGTAACAATATAGGTAGTGCGGACTGGAGGTTAATTGTCTTGGGACAGATTGGACAGAAGTGTGCTCAGTGAGGCACGGTCACTCACAGAGTGACTAGAAGTAATTTCTTCCTGTTTCTTTGGGTCTGTGGCACAGTGAATTTCTTATTTTCCCACTTTCATTTAATTATTTGTGATAATATAGAAGTTGAGCATCACCAGCTCTTGTAAAAGTGTATTAGATTGTGGCAAATTGGGCGTCTTTTGACTTTGAATCAGCATTGAGAATTGCTGATTTTTTTAAGCAGCTGCGTGTGAGATGAGAAGACCATCTAGATATCCAGGAAAACTCTTTAATTATTAATTAATTTAATACAATTAGCACTTAAAGTAATTTCAAATTAAATCTAATAGATAAACAAAGTTATCCTGCATTTAATATCTGTACTTGAACTTGTTTCTACCATCGCAAGTGTAATGAATTAGAGTTCATAATGAGTGTCTGTCCCATTAAACAAAATTACAGTGTACTTGTATAGAGAGTATTTTCGGCTAGATGTTGAAAAATAGTAGTACTGTTGGAGTTACTTTAAATTTTGAAAATTGCAGAGCATGGTTTAAATGGCTCTGCATTTCATTTGCCATATTGACAGCCATGAATCAAGCTTTGGATGTGAACGAAAATATAGAATCATTCACATCAAGGAAGCACTCTAAATTGCACTCTAACAATAAATTGGTTTGAACATTTGAAGACTTTTTTTTAATGCACACAGAAATTAGTCTTTTCTGTGTTGCTTGTTTTGTTTTTGTTTTTTTTAAGATTTGAGCAATAATTTACAAAATGCGTACTGTTTGTTAACTTTTCTCGTCCAGATAACCATGAACTTAAGTTACTGTGCTGTACATCACAACAAGAATGGGTTTTAAAACTTGTCATTGTGATCCCTTTCTCACACACAGAAAAAACTAAATCATACAGAATGTAAGAAGTTGCGAGAAAGAGGCAGAGTGAGAGTTTGCTTCTAGGCATTCTCTCTCTCTCTCATTATCGCCTCTCAACTCCTGGCTCCGGCTGATGGTGGTTATTCAGCAACTGACACTGCAGCTGCCTCCCCTCTCTCCACACACACACA